GAAGCCCTCTAAGGAGAGCATTATCTAACCCTTAGGCAAGGTATGTTGCATGCTTCAGCTTGAATGATATCCTTTAGCCCCTCTAGAGGCGAGTCCAACCGGAGCGTGCCCCAAGCGATACTTTGACCGAAATTCGCGAGCCAATCTGCACTCTTATTCCCTTCTCTCATTATGTGGGAGATTTTGAACATGCGAAACCTCCTGCTTAAATCTAGGCAGTCTTTCACTAGCGCCATTTCCGTCTCGTCATTGGGATTTTCCTTGTACATAACGGCCACTGCCCTGCAGAATCCATTTCGGCCCAAACCAAATTAAACCCCTCTCTCAGACAGAGCTGTAGACCCTCCCTTAGGCCCCACAGTTCTGCTGAGAAACTATCTGTAGTACCAATTTTTGTCGCAAAGCCTTTAATCCAGTGCCCGTACTAGTCCCGAACGATTCCACCGGCGCTCGCCAACCCAGTGCTGGCCTTCATCGCGCCATCAGTATTAATCTTAACCCATCCCGTTTGAGGAGGCGCCCAATTGACCCAATTATTGTAGCCATGGGTCACGCCTCCATGTTTGACAATATAAGCTGTAGTTTCACAGGCTAGTGCACTGGCCGATTTCGCAACCTGCACCGGAGCTTCGTTTGTGTTGTTAAAGATCAGCCCATTCCTGCTCTTCCAAATCTGCCATAGAACATACGCAAAAGGTGCAACTCTAAGGCGAGCCGTCTTTCATCAAAGCTTTCTGTTGGACGTTGAACTCAATCCATGCATTTATTGGCAGATAGTTTCTCATCGTTTTGCCTCCGTTGGTTTCCATGATCCTCCAGCACTCTTTCGCAAATGGGCAGTCCCGAAAAAGGTGTGAAGGAGACTCCTCCTCGTCCTGGCATCTCGCGCATGCACTATCATCGGTCAAATGCCTCCTCTTTCTCTCCAAGTTGGTGAGAAGCCGCCCCTTGAGAAGAAGCCAAAGGAATGTTTTTACCTTTTCAATGCATTTGATCTTCCACACCCAAGACCAGTTCTCCTCTTCCTCCTTTGTTCCTGCAATCCTATTATAAGCAGAAGCAACCGAGAACATACATGTAGAACTTTCTGGCCAGGTGAGCTTGTCAACCGTTGAGACCTCCACTGGTAAGGGGATGGCACGGATTTTGTTGACAAAATCATCAGGTAGAATCGTCAACAAAGCGTCCCTGTCCCAGCTCCTGTCTTCGTTGATAAAGTCACTCACTTTTTTGTTATAGAGCTCATCCGGAATATCAATATCTATCTCGAGTCCAAGAGGTTTGTCACTGACCCACCAATCGGACCAAAAATCTATTGTTTTGCCGTCCCCCACTCTCCATTGAGCTCCGGATTCCACGACTGATCTCCCTTTGAGAATGCTCTTCCATCCCCGTGAAGCATTAGGGGGAGTTGGTGCTGTGAAGAAATTATCCCCATGGATGTATTTTTGAGTTAGGGCTTTCACCTAGAGTTTGTCTGAGTTAGTCAGAATCTGCCACGCAAGCTTGGCCAAGAGTGCCAAGTTAAAATCTTTAGCCATTCTTAGGCCTAGCCCGCCCAGGTCACGGGGTCTGCACACCTCTTTCCAGCTAATTGGATGGTTCTTTCTTTTAGCCTCTGACGAACCCCAGAGAAAATCCCTGCAAATTTTATCAATGTCGTTACACGTACCTGCGGGGAGGGCTATTGTTTGCATAGTGTACACCGGGATCGTTGCCAAAGCTGATTGAACCAGAATCCTTCTTCCGGCTAAGGTCAGGGACTCTGCTTTCCAGTTATTCAGCTTCCTTCTCATTTTGTTGAGGATATAATTAAAGTGTTGTTTTCTCACTCTCTTTTGGAGGATAGGAATCCCCAAATATTTTCCCAGATTTTCTGTCACCGGGATGCTAGATACGGTGCCCACTCTCCTTTTAATCCTGTTAGGAGTGTTAGGAGAACAAAAAAATTAGGGATTTAGAGAAGTTAATATTCAAACCTGACCAATTGGAGAATCTGTTTAGGCAATCCATGATGGAAATTATTTGACTTTCTGAAGCCTCTCCGAAGAGCATTAGGTCGTCTGCGAAGAAGAGGTGGGAGATCCCAATCCCACCTCTCGAGATGTGGACAGGTTTCCATCTTTTCGCGTTCAGTTCTTTCTGGATGGAGTAGGAGAGCTTTTCCATAGCTAGAATAAAGAGATAGGGAGCCAAAGGATCACCTTGTCTAAGGCCTCTTCCCGAGACAAACGAGGGAGTTTTTTCCCCGTTCCAAAGGATTCCTTAAGAGAAAACATTATCAAGTTGATAAAACGACAAGGAAACCCAAAGTCAGCCAGCACCGTTGCAAGAAAGTTCCAATCCAAACTGTCATACGCCTTATGGAGGTCAACTTTGATCACCAAATCTCCTTTTTTGCTTTTCTTCCTGTTAATACTGTGAATAACTTCCTGGGTGAGAACGATGTTGTCCAGCGTTGATCTACCTGGAAGGAAACTGTTTTGATGGGGACCAACGAGCTTAGCCATTAAGGGCCTCATCTTGTTCACAATCACTTTAGACAAGACCTTCAAAATTACATTAAGCAAGGTGATAGGCCGAAAATCTGCAGCACTTTCAAGATTATCAATTTTAGGAATAAGGGTAATAAACGCTTAAAGAAAGTTTACCGGTACCTTACCAGTATCAAGGGCCTCATTAACAAACCTGGTTATGCTACTACCCACCTCATTCCAGTAGTTCTGATAGAAGGCAACTTGAATGCCTTCAGGCCCCGGACTACCAAACCTTTTCATTCCAAAGACTGCTTTCCTAACTTCTTCCATGCTAGCGCTCCGAACCAGTTTCTCAGCCTCTCTCGGGTCAAGCCGGGGTCCTGAATGCTGTTCTGGAATGTGTTCTTCGTCTTGACTGGTCCTTTCAAACAATTGAGCAAAAAACTGAGAGACATGGTCCTTGAGAACCTGTGGATCAGAATTCCAATCACCGTTGACTTTCAGGAATCTGACTCTTCCCCTACTTCTTCTAACAATTGTAGACTTATGGTAGAAACTGGTATTTCTGTCGCCATCCTTGATCCAGGCCTTCCTAGATTTTTGGAACCAAAGAAGCTCTTCCTGAGCGAGAATTGAGTTTAGCTCCTTAATGAGATTACTCTCTAGAACTTGGAGACCTTGTGATCTGTTATACCATGGGGACATTTGTATACCTTGTAATCTGGCTTGTATCAACCTTTTCCTTTTAAAAATATTCCCAAAGACATCTTCATTCCATTTCTTGCTGAGTTTGGTGACATCTTCGATGACCCCTTCCACTCCATGTGGGTTGTCTTTCCATGCTTGCTTCCAAACGTCTTTATAGTCCTCCCTCGTGAGCCAGGCTGCCTCGAACCGGAAAGGTCTATTGTTTCTGTCCGGAGCCGATCCTGCTACACTCATGAAAGAAATTGGATGATGATCAGAATGGGTTCTAGTCAGTACCTTGGCTTTGGCTTCAGGAAAGGCCTCTTGAGCCTTGATATTCCAAAAGACCCTATCAAGTTTCCTCCTGAGAACCGTGCGACCTCCAGTTTGTCGAATCCAAGTGAATTTAGGCCCAGCCGCAGCAACCTCTAAAAGACCACAGTTTTCAAAAGCTTCCCGAAATTTGATCACATTATTCATGTTAATGTGATCACTACCCCAGTTGTCAGACAGATCAGCGACATCATTAAAGTCACCAAGAAGGACCCACGGAGCATCGAGAGAGTCCCCAAAACCTTTACAATCGGCCCAGAATAATTCTTTGGCCCTTTGATTAGGCCTAACATAACCAAAGGATAAATAGCTTTGAAAGACTCCTCCCTCCAAAGCTTTACAGTGGATAGTTTGAGAGTTGCTACTAACCACCTCAATATCAAGAACATTCTTGTTCCAAACCAAAAGAAGCCCTCCTGCAAAACCGAGGGTATTAACCATATAAAAATTATTGAAACCCAACTTACTTAGTACTTTTAGAAGCTTGTCGGCTTTATTAGTTTTGGTTTCCAGAAAGCAAATGGCCCCCACATCCCCGTTAGTTAATAGGGATTTTGCGTGGCGGATGGTGGCCTGGTTCCCAACACCCCGACAATTCCAAGAGACCGCAATCATTGGGAAGGAACGAAGGACAAGGAAGTTTGTAGACCACCTTCCTCATGCGTAGCCAAAGAGTTTGTCACTGGAGGAGTTCCTCCCATCAACTACGAAGCTTGTAGGCCCATCCCTGAAGCACCAAACATGAAAGCACCTGCGTACACTCCTTTCTCAGGATCCTGGCGACTGACTGCCGCACGGCTTGTCGAAGCAGTGGCTTGAGACGAAGCATTTCTAGTCAGCGTCTCGCCCTGCATGGTGGTTTTGCTAATCGACATTTGACCTTGATTCGGGGCTTTCCTTTGCTTTGCTTTGGGTTTCTTCTTTTTCTGCTGACTTTTCATAATATTGGTGTCACTGATCACGGCAGCTTCTCCTTCAATGAAAACTGGCGTTTCATGAAGTTCTCCTGCATCCTGCAAAGAAGAGAAGGGGTTACTGACAGGGACAATGGGTGGGGCGTTGCTTGCCATACCTTTCCGGGGCGCAGTCCGCGTTCCAGTGGGTTTAGTTCCCTCCACCACCACGCCTTTTCCCTTGTCTTTGTTCTCCTTGACTTTAGATTAGGTTTCTTCGCATTATGCTCATTGTTACGTTTTCGACCTTGCTGATTGTCTTTCTTCTTGGTGACAATCATCCAAGGACCATATTTCACGTGAACCCTCTCCGTCGCACTGTCACCTTCCCTTCCCGTATCCTCCATCGGAGTTGCGGAATCCAGGTTGGATTGAGGCGCCTCTTCTGGCGGTTTCCCTTTAGTGCATTTAGCCGACACATGCCCTACCTGCCCACACTCAAAGCAAATAGTGTGAAGGCCTTCGAATTCAATGTGTTGGATTCTATCACTAACCCACACCATAGAGACGAGGGGCTTTCGCAAGTCTATCTCAACTGCTGCCCTAGCGAACTTGGTTCTGTCAACCTCTTCGGTGTTCCTGTCCAGTTTTAAAGGATTGCCTACGAAAGAGAGGATCTTCTTGACAGATCGTTCTTTGTAGTATTCCACCGGAATTCCTGGCAGACGGACCCACACCGCCATCTTCTCCGTCTTGGCAGTCTTAGGGTCGAAGTCCAGACGCCATCTTTGAGGGATGACGTAGCAATCAAAGATTTTCCAAGGGCCTCCGAGAAGCACGTGCCTGTACTCCGCCGCAAGGCCAAAGCGCACCACGTAACATCCCATGCCGAGGTCGAGGATCTCCGTCTTGCCGTTGATATTCCACAGCCTAAGGAGGCGTTGGCGAAGCAGAGGGAAGGCTGGTGGTTTACCCAAATATTTAATGATTAACGCCCTTTTCCATGGCTTCACCAGTTCTTCCCTTTCTTCCTTAGAGAACTTAACCACCGGGATCCCCTCTCTAACGTCTTCCACTTCTGAGTCAGAGTGCACCGTCAGGTCTTCGTCCAGCCAGTCGGAGTTGGTTTCCTCCGTCATGCTTGCATCTTCTAGCATGGGCGAGGCTGATATGGCATCTGCAAAGGAGCGTTTCAGGATCTTAATTCTCTTTCCCGTGTGCGTCGTCCTTCTTGCTTCCCCTTCCGCCTCCGAAGAGGCGATCGGCGGCGGCTGCGCGGGCATCGTGCCCATGGAAGGTAAGTCCATGACCGGTGCCCTACCGGTAACTTACCAAAAAGAAGGAAAAACTTAGAGAGAAAGTTTTTTAGAGAGAAGATTTTTTATTACTATCATATCATTTCGAGAATAACATGACTGTTTACGAAGCAAAATGAAGCAAACTGATTTCAAAATTAGGGATTTTATTGTTTTAAGCAAAATGCTTAACTGACTGTCATGTCATATTTTTAATACCTATTTAAACAAGTCAATAAAATAAAAAATAAAAATAAAAAAACAGCTCCACATCAGCACATTGTTACCTATAACTTTAAAGAAACTTGTTAAAAAATTTAGGTGAAAAAAATTTAATGGTTTGTGAATCGAAACATTAGTTATGAATGGTCATGGTGTAAAATGACACTTTAGTCTTAAATAAATAAATCTCCAAGAAAGGAGTTTAGAGGTAGCCTGGATATGATGGTCTCTCACTTTAATTCCCAAAACATAACAAAATGCAGGACTATGTCCTACACGACTTTTATCATTTTATGGTTTATCCTCTGCAAAATCTGTTGCTAGATGGTCCCACCAATGTGGGTAGGGTGGTGACCAAAAGCTTAACAATTAAGCTTGGAAGATGAAGTGAAAGATTTTTTGATTAATGGCTTCATTCATGTCCACTTAATGGGAGATTAAAGTGGGCAAATGAAAAGACAAAAGAGTTGGCTTTGTAAAGCCTATATAAAGGCCATGGATTTGGCTACCTTGTACAATGAGAGAGTTCAAGAAGAAGAAAAAGAGAGGAGAGAAAATTTGTGTGAGATATACAAGTGTGAGAAATAGCCGAGAAGAAGTTGGCGGATTTCGTAGAAATTCTTGTGCCTCGGGGTATGTTATTTTCTCTTGTATTGTGTTGCCTCTAATCGTTGAATTAGAGAAGTCTTCTCTGTTGTACCCATTATCTATATAGTGGAAGGTTTACTGGCTTGTGCCCGTGGTTTTTTACTCCTTGCCTTGAGGAGGTTTTTCCACGATAAAAATAGTGGTGTTCTCCTTGGTGCCGTTTATTTATTTTCATTGTGCTAATTATATATTCTTGTGAGCTTTCTTCCCAACAAAATCAAAGATTTATGAAATAGTGAGAATGATCTTCAATCTTGGTTCTAATACACCAGCTAATTTTGGATATATACAACTTTTTACATGAACATTACAGTGTAATTTTGATATCCACAGCAACATAGATAACAATCACAATGCTCATTTTCCCTTCTTTAATTTTCTTTGTTGATTCCACAAGGGAAGAATAACAATTCTGTAGCTCGATTGGTCCCAGTGTAGTGAAAGATTCAAAATCAATTGGAAGCTCATTCAAGTCACAGCAAAATTTTAGGATTAAGCACTCCAACTCGGGGAAATGCTCAGCATATGCATTTTAGCATTCGAGATTTGAATGTGAAATGACAAAGAGCTTTAATCTAGGAAACACAACATATGATAGTTTCCTCTCTGGACTGTTGAACGCAGAATTTTTAAACTTGAGAACCTCGAGATTTTTCAGCCTTCCAATAATGTCCATGTCTTTCCACGAAAGATAAGTACTACAAAAAGTCAACTTTTTGAGGCTTTCTGGAAGAGTAGTTGGAAAATTAAAGTTGTTAAAACTTACCATTTCAATTTTTAGTTTCTTGAGCAACGCCAAATAAACAAGACTTTTAAAAGCATCAGGCGGCACTTCATTGTCAATGAAAACCCATAGTTCTTTCAACTATGGAACTTGTTTAAAGTCTGTTATTTTTGGGTCCTTGCCGATTACATTCAACCAAATCAGAGTTTAGAGGTTTTTTTTAACCACACATGGCAGATATAGAGAGGATCTCTTATCAACACGCATGTGCTGTAACCATGGCAATTCCAAAATGTCTGGAGGCAGTTGCAAATGTCGACAATCTTTCTTCTTCTATGAACAAATAATGAGAGTTTGCAAATTTCGAAGCTTAATCAGCTAAAAGTTGCCAAAAGAGCCACAACTAGTAGATAAAGCCAAATATCTCAAATGAACCAAATTATCTATTTCACCAAGCAAGGCATATTGAAATTTTATTAATCACAAATCCAATACTCTTAGCATATTCAAGCCGGAGAGTACCAACATTTCATTACTTGTTGCATGGGTTACATCTTCGCCAAAGTAGAGAATGGAATGGATTTTATAAGAGCGACTGGCCAATTCGTTGATACAAAGTTGATGCAACAACATTTTGAAGAACACCGATATTTGTTTGCTGATTGTAATTGTTTTTCAACATTGAACAAGGCTTTCATTTGAGCCTCTTTCCTGCACAAGTCATACAACACATCATGAATCTTACTTGACTTGAGTTTTCCATATAAGATTTGCTTGCTGACTTGCACTAGATTTCGACTAATAATATCTTACAAGTAGCTCTTTGCCACTTCTTCCAAACTATTATTCATCTCTTCCTTCAAAAATCTTTTTGCAACCCACAATTTGATCAACTTGCCAACATGAATGTCACTGTTTTTGGATCTTGGAATTAGAGCTTATTACATTTCTAAGAAATTTTTTGTATAATCTTAAACTATTGGGCTCTGATACCAAGTATTGAGCTCTGATACCAAGTATTGGGCTCTGGTACCAAGTATTGAGCTCTGATACAATTATTGTATGGACCATGGTCCACAGAATGTCATGTCAAAAAAGAGAGTTGGAGGTTCCTGAAAATGGGTGGGTGCACCATAACAAAAAGTACATTTTTAATATACTAAATTTACATATTTTTGTAGTGTATGTACATTATACAATATAATGTACACTCAGTACAAAAATAATGTACATCTCCTGAATATAATGTACATTATTTTTGTACTGAATGTACATTATTTTACAGTATACAAAATATGGTTCATACAACTTGTGTGAACCATGGTCCACACAATAATGATTGCAAGTATTGGGCTCTGGTACCAAGTATTGAGCTCTAATACTTTTATTTTCCAAACTGATCTTCCAAAAAACCTCAAAAGGTTGATACTTAGTGGGACTTTTCTTCCGTGGGAGGACATGTACATTATTGAAAGGTTGCCAAACCTCGAGGTTCTCAAGCTCACAAAATTTGCCTTCAGCGGTCCAAAGTGGAAACTTGAAGATGGCAGCAAGTTTGGGTGTTTAAAGCTCTTGCTTATTGCATATTCAGGTCTAGAATACTGGGAAGTAACTCATAAAAATTTCCCAATCCTAGAGCGCCTAATCCTAAAAGTTTGCTGGGACTTGAAAGAAATCCAAAGTGATTTTGAAAATATCAGTACACTAAAACTAATACAGCTAGACAATTGTTATTCTTCCCTTGTGGAATCTGTAAAGAAAATTAAAGAAGATATCGTGATTTATGGAGGCACACTTGTTATTCGTGATCTTGAAACTAAGGTCGATCTCCTATTCCCCTTCCTTTATAATGAAATATTGGTCTTAGTCCTCTATTATATTTTATGAATTCTTTTTGTTTTTTAGGAAAATCCCTCATTCTTATGTCTTTCATTTTTATTTTTTCTCATTGTAAACTGCTTTTCTAGGATGGATTGCCTAATAATAAAAAAATCTCTAAGGAAATGGGAGCTGTGATGATGGAAATGGATTAGAAAATGGAAGCTATTGTGGGAGATGAAGAAGCTACGATGGGAGTAGATGAGAACTTGATGATTCTATGAATGATTAAAACCGGTGTAAGCTAAGGTATAGACCATATGTATCAACATATTTGTGCATATGTACTTGTGTGATTATCTCTATAGAGCCACGCCTCTCTTTGATGTGTATGTACATGTCTAAGGCTCTAAGCATAACAAACCAAAGAAAATCATATTTAGTTGCATCTTCTATGCTTAGATCATTACTCTCAACCTGCATCTATGGGTGAGTTTAAAAGGTTCTATTGTTTTTGCAAAAGAGTTAACCTTAGTCTGAGCATTTATTCAAACACAATAAATATATTCACCTAAGATTCAATTGGCAAGGTGAGTTAGGACTCGTGGTATAATATATGGTGGTATGTTGTTCTCATGTTTTAATTGCAATATGGTTGTGACTTTGAGGTTTAATCTAATGATATATGCTTTACCAAGAGAAACCTCTCTCGACCTATAATGTTAATTCGGTTTCATGCTTGTGCAAAGGGTGATGCCTTCTTGGAAGGTACATTTAAAGTGTCAAAATTTGTGCAGGTACAAGAAGAATTCAATATTACTGAAGTCTTGCAATGCCAGACAAATCCTCAAGAAGCTGCAAGTCCATTGTTAGCAAATTTCTTTCTAATCTCGTCTTGATTTAAGTTTTGTGTGTTTTTCCTCTGCTGTTCTTGAATGTTCAGACTCTCCTGCCACAGACATTCATTGTGATTGTTATCTATGTTAGTATGTATATTGTAATTATAGTCTGATGTTCATGTAAAAAATTCTATATCTCAAGAATTAGTTAGTCTGTATTAGAACTAAGATTGAAGATTATTCCCACTATTTCATAAATCTTTGATTTTGAAAAGGATGTGATATTAAATTTCTCTATGCAATCGTCTCATGTAATGTATGATAAACACACCCACACCACTTCATATACACAGTAAGAGCCCGGAAAATTGCTTACACCATGTGAGAAATGGTAGCTAACTGACACGAACCAAGCCTAATAGCTTCTTCAGTTTCTGAGAAGAAACCTCACTGGCAGCCCATAAGCAATGGTTAAGTTTCCGATTTCTCTTGATACTATTCTCACTTCATAGCCCTTAAACATCCTTTTAGCAAGTGACTAATTAATTAATAGAGCATGTTTATAAACTCCATAGATTACCTCAAAACATATCTTAGACGGGGATGAGATCTTTCTAAGCAACTATGAATATTAAATGTTGCAGAGGATTTTAAATTTAAATAAAAGTAGAATATAGTTGAGGAAATCCCAAATTGATAAGGGTTAATATTCCATACCTTGAAACCAAAGTTTTCTTGAGAGTTTTCACCCATCTCTTTGCCAATCACTTTAGGGATCTCTAGTTTAAAGATTTTATTAATCTTCTCTTTAGACTTTTCACCATTCTCTCCATCAGTCTCTTTAGGAATCTCTTTTTGAAAGGCTTCATCAATATCTTCAACATTTAAAAAATCACTTCCCACGTTGTCATAGGAAAATAGTTTAAAATCAAAACCTTTGAACTTTTCATCCACATCTCCATTATCAGTCTCTTTACGAATCTGTTTTTTGAAAGTCTCCATCAATCTCTTCTTCAAAGTTTACATCCTTTGCCAATTTTTCATAGGAAAGAGTTCAAAAACAAAACCATGAAAATAAAATAAGAGGGAAATGAGGAATTTCACTTGGATGTGGCTCGGCATGCTAGCAGGTCGTATAAATATATTTTTAATCTACATATTCTAAGTAGTTCTGCAGAAAGCTGGAATTTATTTGTCAAAAACTTAAATTATTTAAGGGGGAAGGATTTCCATCCCCTGAACTTGAGTCAATTGGGGAAAAAATTGTTGAGAAATGTGGTTGAATACCACTAGCAATTGTTTTGATTGTTGGAATTCTGCACGAACTCGAAATATCACCAAAGAGTTGGGAGGATTTTGCCCAAAACATTGATTCACCATTAACAGGAATGGATTGTGACTCAGTTTCAAAGATGATTGCATTGAGCTATATCAACTTGCCGAGTCACTTGCAACCTTGTTTTCTGTACTTGGGAATTTTTCCGGTGAAGACAGTGACATTAATGTGAAAAAATGAGGTAATTATCGAAATGGTCCCTTGACTATAGAGAAATTACTAATTTGATCATTGACTATTTTTTTACCAATTAATTAAGTCCTCAACTTTAAAAATCTTAATCAATTTGGTCCTTCGTTAATTTTACTGTTAGACATTCGTTAACTCAGGACCAAATTGGTAATTTTGCTATAGTTAAGGGACCATTTCGGTGCACAACTTTAGAATTTTTCAATTTTGATGCTTAATTTTGCTATTTTTATCAATTTTGGTCATTTCAACCAAATTGGCAGCAAAATATTGCCGAATTTTATATTTTTAGGGGTAAAATCGTGATCTCAAGGAAACATCTTCAATATCTAAACAAAACCACAGTAAAATCATATCTATATGTGTTTGATCGATGAGAATAATGGGGAAGACGGGTAGAAACTAGCCAAAGATATATTTGCCCAAATCTCCATTCTCCAATCTTTGCTTTTTAATATGAGATTTTAATAAAAATTGAGGTTTCTCAACAGAAATAGAATCAGATATTGAAATAGATGGAGCAGAGTGTTTAGCATGTTCAACTGGAACAGACTAAGTCTGAACAGGAAAACTGGCTACATAATCAACAAACAACTCCTTAAGGCCAGCCTTAACCTTCTCAAACATTGATTTACCATTTATCTTACCATATAACTGGTTAACTTGGATGAGCATGTATTTTATTTTGTTCATGGGGTCCAAGATATTTGCATATAATATCAAAAAATTCACCTTTCCTGGATCACCACAATATTTATCAAATTTTGCCCTAATATTCCTTTACATAATCTTTAACACTGCGAGATTCAGCTTCCACCATATTATTTAATAGGCATGACAGATTAGAAACCTCAGAGAAAAAGATATTAGAAGTCACATGCAATGAACCAGACATCCTAACAATCATTTTGTAGAAAGATTTCTGAATTTTAACCAAAGACATGGCCGGTCCTATCATTTTGGAGGTCTAGGGCTTAGCAACAAAAATGGGTCATATATTAAAGTTATATATATTTTTATAACTAAAATTTAAATTAAATAAGGGGAAAATACAATTATCAAATAACTTGAAATAAGATTCACAAGTTTTCAACAATTTTACATACACATAAAAATAATTATAGATGCATTCCTAAATCCGAATTAATAAATAAACGCATCACCTTTCATCACTAAAGAATTATAGTTTATAAAAATTAATAAATAATTTAAAACCAAGTGAGCTTATAGACATGCAATCACATTATTATTATTATATAAATAATAAATTAGTTATTTAATAAAAATTTATAATAAAAAAAAACTTGCAAATAACATTATAGAATAAAATCTTAATTATTGTGAGCAATAAATCAAAACACTCAAACGCGATAAAAGATATTCATAATAAAATATGAAACATAAATAATTGGATAAAATAGTTCGAATAAAAAAAACACATAATAAATCATACATCTTCTATATTGATATCATATTTATAAATATTTTTTTAGTTAGATGAATTTCAAGTTTTCTAGATTAATTTGAATACGATGACGCACAATAGAACTTCTAAACTACATTGACTAGATAATTCATAAAAAAAAAAACTAAATTATATTTTAAAATATTTTTCATAACTAAATCACAAAATATATTACATATACACAAGTCATTATAAAGTTCACAAAATAACACATATTCTAAATATAAGTAGTAAATTACTCAAATAGAGATGGATTCAAAATTTGATAAGAATCACAAATCAATCTATATTATAAATCTCACTATAATTATAGAAAGGTAAAAAAATCACAAAATTACAAATTAAATTTAAAAAAATTCAAATTAGAAATAGAAATAAATTTAATGTTATGATAATAATAATAATAATAATAATAATAATAATAATAATAATAATAATAATAATAATAATAATAATAATAATAATAATAATAATAATAATAATAATAATAATAACAATAATAATAATAATAATAATAATAATAATAATAATAATAATAATAATAATAATAATAATAATAATAATAATAATAATATCCCTAAATTCATCAACTAAAGAGTAGGGAGGGAAAATTTTATGTAAAAATTCATATGAGGAAATTCAACTTCTTGATCATACAAGTATACAAACCACAAGTCATACCAACTCAACCAAATTAAAGTTTTGTGGCATAAATGTATATTAAATAATTATACAAAATTTTATAGTATATTAGAATATATAAGAGATAATGAGATAGGGTAGTGGGCCCAGCCTGCACTCGTCCAGGGCCGGGCCTGACCAAAGAAGCAACAAAATTCCAATCTATGAAGTCATGTACATTTCCTCCTAATCAACAGTAAGAGAAGTGTCATGATCTTCATACACTTCTTCTGAAAAATCAATGCAGTATAAAGCATCATATAAGTGGAGTTCCTATTGTAGGAACATCAAGTATTGGGCTCTGATACCAAATATTGAGCTCTGATACCAAGTATTGAATTAGCCTCAGCTATAGCGCAGTCTCCCTTGTCAGCTGCCAAATAAACATCACTTAGTTTGGACTCGAATTTCTCTTCGGCTTTACTGCAACATCTCTGATTCCTTCGTGCAAAAGTTTCTGCGCATCCGGTTCGCAGAAGGGTTTATTGTTCCATTGGAGGACTTGGACTTGGAGGGCACAACTGAAGCATATTTGAAGGATATTGTAAATAGGAATCTCTTTATGGTATTGAAGAAAAGAGCTGATGGGGAGATAAAAACATGTCGCCTCCATGACACCATGCATGTGTTCTGTAAATTAGAAACTTTGAACAAGAAGCTCTTCTAAGAGATAGATGAGGCAAAACTAGACAAACTTATTAATGATGGATGTTGTCGCTTGTGTATCCATCCCTCAATCTTGAGCTTTATTTCTTCAGAGAACAAGGTATTTGGCGACCATATTCGTTCTTTCTTGACATCATCCCCAAGGCCCAAACTAGAGATTCCCAAAGAACACTTGCAAAAATCCCAAGAGACTATCCACTTCTCAATGCTTTTTATGTTGAGTCCCTCAAATTCGAAATAGTGTCCAAAAACTTTTATCTGATATATCATCTACGTTTTCTAGCTGTTACAACTAATCACTAATCTATATAGAATGCAAACTCGTACTATACAAATATATACAACAGTTATTACATTAAATATATTTACATGACTATTTAAAAAAAAAAAAATACATGGCATTTACAAGATTACCTACCTTTAAAAAAAAAAAAAAAACTCACTATCTATTTAAACTATCCAACTATATATCAAATATAGACATTGTATATATATACATTTTAATAACATAAAAGTGACTTTTATATATATATATATATATATATATATATATATATATATATATATATATATATGTGTGTGTGTGTGTGTGTGTGTGTGTGTGTGTGTGTGTGTAAAAATCACTTTTTATGTTATTAAAATATCATTCTTCTCTACGAAACTCTAAGGAGACATACTCCTTTCTCACCTCTATAGAGGATTAATTTTTCCTTAATCCTTCTCGTCTCTCAATACTTGACATCAGAGATCAATACTTAATAATTAGATCTCAATACTTTGTATTAGAGCATAATACTTAGTATTAGACCTTATTACGTTTTAAAGAAATTTTTTGCATAATCTTAAAGTATTAGGCTCTGATACCAAGTATTGAGCTCTGATACTAAGTATTGGGCTCTGGTACCAAGTATTGAGCTCTGATACCAAGTATTGAATCAGTCTCAACTGCAACGCGGTCTCCATTGTCAGCTGCCAAATATACATCACTTAGTTTGGACTCGATTTTCTCTTCTACTCTGACTGCAACATCTCTGATTCCTTCGTGTTTGACTGCAAGATCTCTGATTCCTTCGTATAAAAGTTTCTGCGCATTCGGTTCAATTTTCAACTCAGATTCTCGTAAATAGAATTGCAGGAAATTGATTCGACTGCGGATCGCAGAAGGGTTTATTCCTCCATGGGACTATGGGAGGACTCGAAGTTGGACGGCACAGTTGAAGCATATTTGAATGATATTGTGAATAAAAATTGTTGATGGTGTTTAAGAAAAGAGTTGATGGGGAGATCAAAACATGTTGCCTCCATGACATCATTTATGTTTTCTGCAAATTATAAGCTTTGAACAAGAAGCTTTTCCATGAGATAAATAGGGCAAAACTAAACAAAATTATTAATGATGAATGTTGTCGCTTGTGTATCCATTTCTCCATCTTGAGCTTTATATCTTCAGAGAACAAGGTATCTAGCCACCATATTTGCTCTTTCTCGTCATCATCCCTAAGGCCCAAACTAGAGATTCCCAAAGAACACTTGGCAAAAATTGCAAGAGCCTATCCACTCTCAATGTGTTTGATGCTGAAGCCCTCAAATTCGAAATACTGCCCAAAGACTTTTATCTACTATATCAACTACGTTTTTTGGCTGTCACTGACCGCAATACCATTCCAACACTCTTAACTGATCTATGGAACATGCAAACTCATACTATACAAATA